CATACACACACACACACACATATATATATATATATATATATATATATACTGATAATAAAGTAGTTTAAATTTGAATGCAACTCTGGAAAAGGTCTTGACATGTGCACAATTTTCTTACCCATAATGAAATGGTTAAATTACCATGTTCTTTCATGAGCTCTTGCATGCCAAAATCCACTCACAACATATATCAATTAAACCCTGCCACTTTGAAATACAGAAAAATGTGTCAAAACAAATGCATGTATGATTTGCCAATGGTAGTTATTTGTAGTGGTTTGACATCCAAGGAAGCCTGTTAAAAGATAGAACTTATGGTTTTTCTCTTTGTTATATTATAATTTTCAGTTGTATTTTATACTGAGTAATTCATGCTTATTATAAAGATCAAGCAGGAAACAGATTGTGGGGATGGTGTGGGTAGTTTAGAGGTCATTTTAAAAAGAAATTTCTTGGTTAGGTGTTTTTTCTTTTGTTATATGTTTATGTTAAAAATAAAACTGAAATACACTAGACTAAGAGGAAAATGTCAATAATAAGAACAGCATCTATTCCCATTGTTGCAGGTCCAAATAATATAAACAGTTAGAGATAACATTTCTCACTGTTTGGAATAAAAATGTTGATAGTAGTAACTGTATTTAATTCAACAATAATTTCAAAGACTTATTTTTACCTACTTAGATGCTGCTTAAACTTAAAACTGTAAAAATCCTGTTTGAGTCATTATCCATCTAGTACTACTTACTCTAAGTTTAACTACTTGTACACATCATTTAAAAAAAAAGTGTGTCAAAGTCTTGCAATTCTCTTTTATATTTCAAAGATCACAAAAAAACAGAAATTTAATTTTACTCATTAGAACAATTAAATTTCTTATTCCATTTAAAGCTTGAAAATATGTATTGCAACAATTGCTCTAAATAACAAAAAAATCACTAAGAAAGATATTTCAGACCATGTTTACATGCCTGGCCAAATTACTAGAAATGTCAAAGCATGTCAGCTCCCCTAACTGCCCTATGCACATTCATGACAGCTTGAATGTGTTGTGGAAAGCTCCTAGTTCAATCTTTTCCTATTACTAGTAGTACCTAATAACTAGAATGAAACAAAGAAATTATAAAAAAAAATTTAAAAGAAAAGAAAGTATGCCTGACTAAATCTGTAGAAATACACACACACACAATATATATATCTTTACAGTGTGTCCCAAAATGAGTATACCAAAGAGAAAGTTAAATAACTTTATTATTTGACTTCTGAAAGTTTGAAAGTTTTATTTAGGTTAATTATTATTTTTATTACTTACATTATTTATCATTATTATTTATGAAAATGTTTTATTTCAGATTTCAGAACTGACCCTGTTTTTGAGTAAAATAACTCCTGAAGAGTTCCCTCACTTTAACCTCTTTGGACTTTTATTTTTGGGGCCTTTTCAAAACAAGTCCACCATAACAAACCAAGGGATCTTGAGTAACTGAAACTTCATATCCGTGATGCTGTCTTATCTATCCCTACAGCTGTGTTAGAAAATGTGTTCTCAGAAATTGAACACAGAATTAGATTAATTATAGCTAATGGTGGAAGACATATAGAAGTTTATTAAGTAAATTAAATAAAATTTACAAGCCTTCAGAAGATATTTTGTTTAAGTTATCTCAAATAATAAAATTGTTATTCAATTGTCTTTTTGGTATATGCATTTTAGGACACCTTGTATATACACATATATAACACTTGAATATTAAATCTTTCTATTTTCTCTCTCCTCTATTGATTTCTTTTAAAAGTTTCCTACTTTCCTAAAAAGTATACCTTTTGTAGTGACTCATTGTCCAAATATACATATTAATAATTCATCTGTTAATACCCAATTAAAAGAAATATTAAATTAAAAAACTGAAAGAAATATTCAAAGATAATACATTTATTTTATCAAGAAGACAACTCAACAAATCTGTATAGATTATTGAATAAACCTAAAGAGAAAGATTTTTTTAGATGTATATTATGAAAGAAAAACTGTGCTTTATGTAACTTACATTACATAAAAACTAACAAAACAATAATAAACTAACAAAACAATAATAAGGAATTTTTTGTTTTTCGTTAATAACTCAAATACAATTCTAAGGACATAATATATCTTAGAATGTGTAAGAAGTGGTGAATTCTATATTGGTAAAACAGATAATTTAAGATTAAGGATAAATTTACATAAATTCCATGTTAGATGATCCAAAAAACAAAAGCTCACTATATGCCAGCAAACATTTTGAAGAATGTATTTTGAAAAAATTTTAAAAGAACCACATTTTCATCTTTCCCCTTTGTGGGGGGGAGGGGGAGGTATGAAATGTAAAAGAAAAATACTATTTTTTGAAAAATATTTCACAAATTTTTTGGTGCCACTTGAAATAGATACAAGTAAGAGGGCAAAAGTAACTGGTTGTGTACAGTCAGTAGGAATTGTTAAACTGAAAAATATTACTAAGACTTACAGAAAAGATAATAAAGAGGTATGAAAGTACTGAATAAATAAACTGCATTTCTATAATACCAAGAGAAGGTATAATCAGAGTAAGATTTTAATTTAAAAAGAAGAAGTATATTGGATAAGCTTTCACTAATTTTATTTATTTTTGAGCATTTTTAATTACTTAATTCATACAAGAAGTTATATGTTTGTACATTTGGAAAACATATGTATTTAATTTAGAGTTTATTTATGTTTAGTGGAAAAATGGTATTTGGATGTTTTTGTTATATATTATCAGTAAAATTATATCCAGGCGAGTGACCTCTAAAGTCACAAAGCCAGTTGAAAACATTAATACAGGAGAAAAAAATAGACTAATTTTTCAGTATTTTGTTATTCATATTTGTTTTTTGGTTATACACAAACACACTGTTTAGTGTACTTAAAAATACAACTGTCAAGCACACAATTTTAACTTATATTTTTACTACTTTTAATTGAGTTACAAATGTATAAAGACAAGAGATGCAGAAGTATACACATTTTATCTTCAACGATCCAGTGTTAAAATTAGTATGTGTAAAGCACTTAACCTTCTCTTAGATGTTGGAGTGAAACAATACACAAGTCTCAGTTTTAACTGTTTCTAACTTTGTGAAAAAATGAGAACAGAAACTAATGTATTTCTAAATAAGATATTAACAGTTAAGTATTAGTACTAATCATATTTGGTTACAAATTTCCATATTATATTTTACCTACAACTTAATGACAACAATGGAACTGGAGGTCCATCTAAGGCATCTCAACCACTAAAATAAACTTTAAAGTGAAAATAAAATACATTCAAAGCCAGCCCTTATCATTCAAATACTTATTAAACCTCCCTCAGTTGCTTCATTCACCACACTTGAAGGCAACCTATTCCAAAGGTCAACCACCTTGTTGAAAAAAAAAAAGCTGTCTTAACTGAAGATACATATAAATTTGGCAGGACTGGAGTTGTGTCCCCTAGTCCTACCATTCATTTATATAAAAGATGGTACATTAACACTATCAATTCCCTTTACAATCAAATCTCCTCTAATTCTTCTTTTATCAAAAGAAAAGTTCAGAGATCTTAACCTATCCTTATATGATGGCCTTTCTATCCCAGGTATCATACTGGTAGCCTTACTCTGAACCCTTTCAAACAATTCTTTGTCTTTCCTAAGGTAAAGAGCCCAAGACTAAACACAATACTCCAAATGTGGTCTAACCAGTATTCTATACATGAAATTATTACCTCTTTAGACTTATAATGTTATATTCAATATTTCTTTAGACACAATCTAAAACCCCATTTTTCCTATCACTAACAACAGTATATTGAATGAAAGTGATCCATTAGAACACCAAGATCTTTTTCTTCCATAACATTGCTAAGATTATTCCTATCAAAGTTATATTCATAATCATAATTTACACTATGTTATCCCACATGAAATACCTTGCATTTATTATAATTAAAAAGCCATCTGCCTTTTATTCACCCAACATTAGTAACAATTTTTATCAGTTTCCTTCTGCAAATGCTAGTACATACAATTAACTTTTTTAACCACACAATTAAATAATAAGTTGGTCATTTCATTTTAATCAATAACCAAATGTTAAAGATATTTACAATCAATGAAATGTTAATATTGTTATACGAGTTTATGACACAATTACACATATTGCATGCTGTTAGTCTTACTGTACTTGAGGCCTAGCAATAACATTAGCAAGTTAACTAAATAACTTAAATTTCAAATAATTACGCTATTTATTCAATATAAAATAATACTAACGAAATATACTTAGTTGAAAACAAAGCTAAATGAATACAACTTACAAAAACAGCGTTTAATAAAAATTAAGATGGGATACAAATACAATTTGGACGAAAGGTAGAAACAAGAATTGGGCACCTATAAATTATAATGCTATAGACTAGTATATTGGCTATAACTGCAATTTGCAAACTCCCATCCTAAGCATGAAATTTGGGCGGAGGAAAACGGATTTAGCGATAAACCAGCCTGACAACCCCTAAAATTTGGCGACAGGCCTCGTCAGCACTGGATATAACCGATACTATATTAACATTCTAATCTACTTTTAGTTTTACTCACATTCATACTGTTACTGTTAATGAGTTATATTTATAACTTATAAGTTATAGTCATACACTGATACATCATATAGTGACTGAGTAAGATAGTAACACCGGGAACTTCTCTACATCTGTTGTATATTCATATTGTAACAATAATTAAAGGTGTATTTATCGTTTTATAATCTTGCAACAACAACAAAAAAAAACGTTTACAGCTCACTTACCATTTTTTTAAATATACTATAGTTTTGCCATGTTAAGAAAATACGCTATTCAGGAAGAAGTTTCCGTGTCATTATACAAGTACTAAGCCTAATAATAATAACTAAGTAAACTCCGAAAATTTATCCTGATAACATACGTAAGTCTACTGACCATTGGCCTATTTTCACAAAATTTTTAGGTTCCATGTTCAGGTTTTAACCAATCGAGATTGAGTAAGTATATGAAAGAAAGAAAAGTAATACAGGAAACAAAAGATATTATCGTTATATTTACATGACACTACTTATTTTACTCTTTTTTTTTTAGTTTATACAAGTGTCTGTAGAAATGCAAGTATGCATATAAATCAGTACACTAGTCTACTCGACTAACAGGAATTCACATGTCTCTGATAAAATAGCTATTAAAATATTTACACAATTACGTCCAAAAAGTTTGTTTGTAGTTCAGCGCAAAGTTACATAATGAGCTATATATCTGTGCTATTCCCACTAAGAGTATCGAAACCTAGTTTTCAGCGTTGTAAGTCCGCATACATACCCTTGAGCCACTGTGGAGTGGAGGGTGTAGGGGGCACGTCCAAAGAGACCACTAACTCAAAAAGAAAGACAAAACTTTACACTTACAATATGCCCCAGGTGGTTCAGTGTATTGTTACGTCTCCGTTTTTTAATTGATTTTCCGTAACTACA